TGCACTTCTTATCTCCCATTCTGTCCTCATCTTCATGTCCATATAACAACCTCTTTCTATGGCATTTTACCTTGAGTGGTTCGTGAGCCTTGTATTGGGGGAACAATAGTAATAAAAATGAACATTTATAGAGACCAAACAGTGGATGCAAGCAGAGTTAGGTTGTAGGTAATGCATTTAAACAGTGACGTCAGCGATATGCTTTGCCCCAAAAGAACAGCGCTTCGAAAAAACATAGCTAATGATTGTTACATATAGTCTGTCTATATCTCTGAGATGAGGTATTATGATTACTTAAATTATTGTCATTTTTTGGAGTTTTATCCTCATCTTCATTGCCATATTCAGAACGTTTTGGCCGTTGTACGCCCCGGTCTTCTTCAGGTGATTGAAATTTCGAGCCGAATTCTTAACTTCGTCCACCGGGGTAGATTGTTCTAGTTCTACGTGCTATATCTCAATTATTTCCCTTTAATTCAAGTGTGGTTCACAACTCTTTGAGTCCAATTATTGGATCTAACCAACGCCTTCATCCACTGGGCCATGTGTCCTTGAGGTTAGATTATTCTGATTCCACGTGCCATGCCTCTACCGGATGTCTCATTTATTTCCCTTTAACTCAACTCTCTAAGTTTTTGGTTTACGACTGTTGTAGCCTGGTATTGAACTCAGAACTCTTTTCGGTTCGAAATTCCAATCACGACCGGAGCGTTGTGAATATGGCAATAAAGATGAGGATAACAGTCCGAATAATATAAATAATGTATGGAACAATAGTTTTTCGTATCTGAAAATTCACATAATGAGGAAGGAGGGTTTGGAAAAATTACCCCTCACGAGGCATATTCAGAGCAAGAGAGATAAGCCTCCTCTTTGTTTACATCCTCTGGGGGGAAGTATCAAAGGGACAAAGCTTATTGAGAGCTACAAGGGATAGGGGTTAATGTGGAGGGTCATGATCGCCTACGTCTTGAAGGGACACGGTACATAAAAAGAAAAGTATGTAAAACAATCTAAGTATTAAGTTAAGAAAAAGATCAGGTGAAAGATATTCTAGTTAAAAATTTATAATGAAAATGCTTCACATAAGAAATTCAGGCAAAGACTAATACAGGCTGTCTAAATATATATATATATATATATTCATTTTGAAGTTTTTTCAAGTAATAATTCCAGTAAGTAAAACCAAATATATCTAGTCTAAATAATTCATATGAAGACAGTACTTATTATAAATACATGCACTTTATTTTAATCACCCCAAGAAAGGAAGTAAAGTCCCTAAGACACAAGGGGTTACACGGTGTGGAAGAATTAAAAACAGAACCATTAATGATGAGCGGGAAGAAGAAAGAGCAATCAGGAGGACAGAAGATAACGATTGACATTGCATTTAAATCTACTTATTCGCTGTTAGGTGGGCTATTGCTTAAAAAGTTTGAGAAAAACTAGTTTAGAGAGTAGAAGTTACTGATTTTCTGTCAATTTCTGAAAAATCAATTTGTTCAAATTTTTTTTTCACCTTTTTCCATTTTTTAAGATAATCGAATCGCAATTAAATACTGTAGGAGAAATATATTATTGCTCTCGGTTTCTTGACAATGTTTCTTAATTGCTCACCGTTTTGTTTTTACGCTTTAAGTTTTCCTCGCGACTAAGTTTGTATATTCCCATCTTTAGAGTGTATATCGCGAACGTCAATATTTCCTTCTTAAAAAAAATACTGTAGTATGTGATGAACACCAAGAAATATCAAATAGACAGAATCGATTTTAATGTTAATAAATATCCTTTGCTCTAGGAGAATTTGATCTGTGATGACCTCATTGTATACTGGATTCATTCTTAGATGATACCAAAATACATTTTATCCTTAGCGTTACACAAGAGCTTCAGAGAAGCCAGGAGCATCTGTAGGTTAACCTGAAAGATAGCCTCCTAGACAGCAGGTGCAGATTCGCCTCTCTCGGGTTGTCAGCGGCTGCACACGATATATAAACAGGTGAACGAGTAAGCTGGGTTTATGATGAACATAAATGGAACCAAGCGGATAATAGGAAGATACCATTCACCCGGCCCCGTGAGGGTGAAGAGCGAGGGTGAAGAGCGAAAAAAGAGATTTTTTTTTTTTTACATTTTTGAGAGAGAGGAATAAACCATGTTTGGGGAAAGCCCCTCAAAAGGAACAAGCCCACTCGATGATATTAGTTAACCAATTCCGGGATTAAATTTTAACCAATAGTGATGAACGGATGTTCCCTTAGGGTGACCCCTTGACTTCAGCGCCTATTGGAAATTAAGTTCTGCCCAAGCCGGAAGTGGAATTCATACATACAATACATTGTTAAAGATGCTGAGAAAATGGCCGGTCTCCAATATTGCTCCTGCAAGTATCTCACTCCTGTTATCCTTTAGCTTTACAAGAGCCAAATCAGGTCGAAAACGGATCCTAGTGCCATATATCGGCAGGCGCTGCCTCTTCTTCACTTTCCACTCTTGAGTTCAAATGTGTCTCCGCGGCCTTGTAGGTGATGAATTATTTTCCACCCTACAGCCCCTTTCTCACAGAGCAGACATCACGGATCCCTTGCTGTTCTAACGATATTTCCATGGAATGTGTTCAGACAAATTACATTCCTTAGTTCCACCAATTCTATCCTTCACAGCTAAGACCCACCATGCGATGCCCATTGTAGCAAATCACCCTCATTTACTTCGCATTCTTTTGGTGAGATTCAAGCAGCTTCTTCCTACGAACATATGCCTTGTGGAACCGTATCCCAAAGTTACTTCCCCAATCACTACAATCTTGACCTGTTCAAGTCTAGAGTTAACCGTTATCTTCCATACATGTCCGCATAAGCTGTACCTTCTACTTTGTAACCCTCTGTCTCCAGTGGTTTTTGGACCTTGTACAAGGTGAACATCACTAAAAAAAAACAAAAAAAAAAAATTATTTTACGCATAAGATTTTCTTTTTAGCCTGTACAACAATGACGTCGCATTTCTCTCTGCTTTAAATGCACTGTGTAACTATTTCAGAATTCCTAAGGAAGGCCGGAGAGCACAACGGTCGAAACGTTGTGATAAGAACAATAAAGACAGTAGTCCAAATATAAATAGTGCAAATTATATTTTCTAATGAATGTTCACCCAATAAAAGGCTCAAGAGTCTCCTAAGGTAGAGGGTTACTATATTAGTGTAGGAAAGGATAAGCGTCAGGAATATAGAGCTAAAGTCGACTTTAGAAGAAACCGGAAACCCAATACTAAATAGAAAAAAAGGGATAAACCTCTACTTCTTTTCAAAAGAGCGTGAAGCAGTATGAACCGGACGATAAGCGAATCTATCTACGTCTATTAATATATTCAGGATTTATTATTAATGCGTAATCTTAATATAAGATACGCAAATCCAACAGTGTTGATGGCAGATATAGAAAAAAGCTAAAGGAAATACTACACAAGGTAATAAAGGAAAGCAAGAAGAAAAGACTCGTGCCTGTTCTGCAGACATCAGGCTTTCAAAATTGTAAAGGTAAAGTGCTTGACGAACGGACGAAATAGAATATCCGAATACTACGTGATTTAAAAATCCGTTAGGACATTTCAAAGTCTGCTAACGTTATTTTCGTACTCGAAATGTGAAACCAGAAAATGTCTGAGTAGATCCCATTTTTTAAACAGCGAAATTAATATTTACTGGTCAAAGACAAGGAAAAAATCTGTTTTCAAAACCGTAGGGAAGAAAATAGGAAAAAATCCCACTATATTACTCAAGAATGAATTTCAATTCACATATAAAGAAAAGAAATGTGTGGAGAGACATGGTCGCTTACATCCTAAAGAAATATGGCATTAAAATAAAATTAAAAAAAATGGAAAAAATTTGCTTGTTTGTGTCCAATACTCGTAGATAGAGTTAGAAACGTTTGTTGCTAAATTTTGTTTTAAAAAAATCGCCAACCGAGTTAATTCAAATTTACAATTTACGAACGTTTTTATCACATCTAAGCTTTGAAAGGCTGAAATAATTACAAGAGTTTTATCTGATTATGGGAAATCACATTTATTTTCTTTTGAGAAAAAGATTCTATCAATCGGCTCTTGTCTTTTGACCCCCAGAACAATAACCTTTCATAGACATTTACCTTTTGCTTTAGATTAGAATTTATTTGTGGCAGTTTTTTGGTGGCTTTGGGTTGGGGTGAGAGTGTGGGGTTGGCTATTCATGATTATCTGTATTTTAATTCGTTTTTTTTTTCTCCTTTTTTTTCTTTTACATTATCTTTTTTATTCGTTTTTTCTTTTTTTCTTTTTTCTCGCTTTTCTTCATTTCTGAACTCTCGCTTTCGTTTTTACTTTTCGTTTTCCTTTCTTTTTTTTTTACTCTAATTTTCATTTTCATTCTTTTTCTTGCTTTCGTCACTTTCATTTTCACTTTTACTTTCTTTTTTCATATACGTTTTCTTTCTTTCTTTCTTTCTTTCTTTTTCGTTATTTCTTTATTTCTTTCTTCTTTCTTTCTTTTTTCATTTTCATTTTTTTCCCTTTCTTCCTATATGCATTTTCATTTTTTCTCTTTATTATTTTTCATTTTCTTCCTTTCTTTCCTCCTTTTATATACATTTTAATTTTCTTTCTTTCTTTCTTTCTTTCTTTCTGTCTTTCTTTCTTTCTTTTACTCTATTATTGTTCTCTTGTCAATTTCTTTTATTTCTTTCTGCCCTCTGTTCCCGTTTATGGGGTCGAGGCTTTACAAATTTCTTAAATAATTTTTTTCTTGTCTTTTCTTCTTTTCTTTCCGTGCTATTTCATTCATTTCTTTCATTCCTAAAAAGCCAAAACGTTCTATTTCAGATTCTTTCCATTCTCTTTTTTATTTCTTTTCATTCCAGCACTTAAAAAAAAAATACCCATCTACATTCTTTTATTTTATATACCCCGTTGGACACCTAATCGAATTACCTCCCTTTCAACCTAAGAACTCTTTACTCTGATCGACTTCTAACTGATGGGACATATAAGTGTTATCCCAGTCCTTGCAATCAAGCTGCTCACACAATCATATTTTTTCTAAAAGAAAAGAGTAAATAACGACCAACAAAAGTTTGTTCTTTTTTTTTTTTTTACCCCTCTCCCCTTAGATTATTAACATAATATCTATTTTGTATGTTATATGCAGATAAAAAACTAATCATCTTTGGATTCGTTTTTTTTTATACCTTTGCTTCTCCAAGCGAAACACAACCGAGGCTTCTTGCTACATAAACTTTCATGAGGAGAATCACAAAACCAGGTTATTAAATGACGCTTAGTGTTAACACAAATTGCCTTATCAAAGTTAAGGCCTTAATCATTTATCATGAGTCATGCTGCTCCATCCCCAACCACATATTCAGCTCCCACCCCAACAAAAAATAATGTAAATTTCTAATTCGATTAGTTTATGTACGCGTTAGGGTTTTAGCATTATTTCAAACACAATTTATCCAAGACATGCACCAACAATCAATATTCTTTGAGGCAGTAGCTGTTCGTCTAAATTTTGCGAATTCTTTTTTTGGGGTTTTTGGTTTTGTTTCAATGCCAAACTGGGGACTTTGCAGGAATAGGTGGTTCCACTTGTATTCGGAACCATTTTGTTGCAGATGATTATCATTTTGACCGTTCCTATGCCTTTCTGAGTCCTACAAATTATCCAAACTGCTTTATTTCTCAATGATAATTCCGAGAAAAAATAATTCTCCATCTTTGATGATTATAAGATTCATTGCCCTACAAGCATTATTTATTTACCACACTGGAAAAAAATCTGTGAAATAATAACCATTAGGAAAAAAAATCAAATAGTAAATTCGTTTCAATCAAATTTTATCGAATTATTTTCCCAAGATCTTTTTAAAAGCAAGAATGAATTTAATGTACGAAATCATTTCTTTCTTGTTCATTTATTTACATCAAATGATTTAGGGACATTCATAGTGGGTTAGATAATTGGATATTTTTTGAATGTTGATTTTCTAGGCAGACAGGCTGTCTCCATTTTGGAAGATTAGTCTAACTAACCCTAACCCTTCTCGATCCTATCCTCTTTCTGTTTTATATTAATGTTCCGCCTGAGAACAAACTCGGATAATTACGAAACATTTAGGCAGATGATAAGAGTGTATCGGTGCATTTCCAAAAATCTACACGACACGAGACTGGCAGCTGACCTCTCCTCAGACTGAACTTTAACAGCTCAATGGTTAAAACACTAGGTTGTGACATTCCAATACCTATAAAACACAAACTAGTAACGTCCAATCAACACTGAACAGTCCTTGAATGTTTGGCAATCGCGAAGAACGGGTGTTCTCTCAAGGAGGCCCCATTACATTGAACTCCTGTTCGCACTCAATTTCATAGCACACCTTTAGTCGAACTATACTATCCGTTGCTAAAGTTGCTGGAAAGTTCTCTGTACCGCTCCAGGAAGTACCTGACTCCCTCTACTATACTCTATCTTTACAAGACCCAGATAAAACCCCCAAAAGCAGTGTTGATGTGTTGGGGCTAGACAGTCTTGAATTTCTATCTTTGATAAATTTCAAAAGCGTTTGCACGGCCTTGTGGATGAATTATTAATGTAGCTTCCCTCTGCCTTTTCTAATAATAATGTAGCTTCTATACCTTTTCTAATAAATATCATAATTATAATATAGCTTCTCACTGCCTTTTCTAATATCATAATCATAAAGTAGCATCCCTCTGCCTTTTCTAATAAATATCATAATCAAATTGTAGCTTCCCTCTGCCTTTTCTAATAAATATCACAATCATAATGTAGCTTCCCTCTGCCTTTTCTAAAAAATACTTTCATCGTAATTATTCTGATGAACTCTCCGCTATGATACCTAGACGTTATGAATTTAAACTCAGTGCTAGACTATCGGTAGGTTCTCATCATTTTACAGTTGAAATGGCTTGACGTAACCGTAAGTTCTATGCTAACAGTTCCTTCTATCTCTTGTGGATCTCCCTTTCGGCTTCTTTCTTCCCAGTCATCTTTGATCTTCAATAATTTAAATGCAAGGTCAATCGTTATCTTCTGTCCTCATAAATCCTCTTTCTTTTATTGTCATCTCTGATTAATAATGTTTTTCTCACATATTGTTTAACGCTCGTTAAATCCTTGAAGTGAAATAATTAAAGTATATTTTGGTGAGCTACGATTATTAGCTGGATTATTTCCGACCCATGCAGGGACGAATCATCCTCATCTTCTCCGTATTCTATTAGTAGGAAGGAACTTCAAATCAGTCAGCTTCTTTCCGAGTGTCGTTGCTTTGTGAAACAGACTCCAGGATGCTTCTCCGATCACTTCAATCTTAGCCTCTGTAAGTCTTCGTTCATACAACAACATCTAGCTTGAGTGCCTCTTGGAGCTTGTATTTGAAAAACAATTAGCAAAAAAAAAGTGCGACTAGCAAGCAAAAAAATGGAAATTTTGAATACTGAAATTTAACTGTCGTCACATTAGAGAAGGCGTGATACACTATTGCAAATGCTTTATTTCTAGGACACCTACTGTAGAGAAGTAGTTGTTGATCTTGTTACACAAACCATTCCCTAATATTCTGCGATCGATTCTTCTCAAACCTTCCACTACTGTAATACTGCACCTGATTATGTTCACTTTAATAAATATATTCTTAGTTTCGTAAGACCCCCCTCTCCCGAAATCGGAATTTCAATTGACCATAATAAACAGGTACACAGATAGTTACCCATTACTAACACTCCTCCACGTTCTCATTTCATTTGGCCTTTTACCATACATAATTCAATTAATAAATGCCCCTACACCAATAATAATACTGATAATAATAATTATTATTATTTTTATAGTAGTGGAGGCACGGGGGCGTAATAGATAGAGGCTCGCGAGCCGGGTTCGAATTCGAGTCGGATCCATTACATTCACTTATGCCCTCTTCTTCCCCGCCACCAGATATGGGTAAATAGCTGGACAGACTGGAATTCTATAAACTTGGGTGGCAACCAGTCTAGGAGAATGAAAAACTCTGAATTCAAAACCAGCCTAGTGAGGGATTGGCTCTGTCAGGTTATCTTGCCCAAGAAACAACACTTCTACCGTGACTGCAGTACGCATGATAACCCTACGGGTCACAGGATAAAAAAAATTATTATTATTTATAATCTAATTAAGTTCGATGTTTTTATCGATGTCCTACACTGAGAAAATCAGAATAAATCTTCGTATCCCATTGCTTCAGAAGTCCCCATTGCTTAACACTGCAAATATTCTGTGAAAAGTGATATATTTCTGTGATTCAAGATTACAAACGAAAAACGATGTAAAAAAAAACAATGTATAATAATATTAAATCAAATAAAAAATAATTAGAAGTAACAAATAATAATAATAATGTTTTGAGTCTTTTTCATTTAGGCAAGTATCATACATAATAGTCTGGATTCAAAATGCAGGTTCTGGGACAAATATCAGGAAACCATAGACCATCTAATCTCAGAATGTTCTTTACTTGCGCCAAATGAATGCAAAATTCGTCACGACAGAATAGGGCAATATTTATATTGGACAAAGTGCAAACACTTTGGAAAAAAATGTTAACAAACTGGTATAAATATCACCCTGCACTGGTTACAGAAATAGAGTCAGTCATTTATGTGCCATGCGTGATACACGCTTAGGCGGTCATGCATCGAAAGATACATGACTGACGAGGCAGATTTTTTCTCACAGTAGGTTGCCATTTCTTTCTGCGGTAGACCAGTTGTTATCCAATGCTATAGAACCCGGTCTGCTCTGCTATTTACCCATAGCTGGGAGGAGAGTAAGAGGATTCATACTTTTCCCAAAGACATCCCAAGTCTATGGGATTACACTATCTTTACAAACAGGAAGATTGAAGCAAATAGGCCGGACATAATTGTCAAAAACAGAAAAGAAAAAAAACTTTCCTACTAATTGATATGGCTTGCTCAGCGGTCTGTAACATTGCAACCAAGGAATGTGAAAAACTCTTGAAGTATAAAGACCCGGAAATCGAAATAGAAAAAAATGTGGAAATCGAAAACATGAATAGTACTAGTCATAATAGGGGCGCTTGGAATGGTAAAAAAAGGAACACAACAACACATTGAAAAGATCCCCGGAAATTTCAGCTTAAGAGAAACAGGAAAAAAAATGTCTTGCTAAGTACAACCGACACACTAAGATGAACTTTGTCCATATAACGGTAGTGATGTTATGGGAATTAGAAAAACAAATCATGAAATGTAGCCATAACAACACATCATTACCTCCCTTAGGTCTTCCCGCAGACTTGGTAGGTAGTGGGACCCTAGCAGAAATCAAAATATAATAATAATAATAATAATACCCCAAATAGACATATATTTATAGACTGGGTATGTCGAAGGGGTAATTGTTTACGTCCCACACGCGCCAGATAAACACCCCAAATTCTGAGCGCTGCTTTTAATTCAGTGTGTTGTAATCTTGGCTTAAGAGGATATGAAATTAAATAAAAGTATGAAAATAAGAAAGAAAATAGAAAAAATAAATATGAAATGGTAAGAAAAGAATAGTGAGGGAGGGGGGAAGAAAGAAAGAAAGAAAGAAAGAAAGAAAGAAAGAAAGAAAAATCAAGAAAGATAAGAAGGATAAAAAAGTTAAAGAAAATGAGAAAAAGAAAAGAGAAAATAGTAACAGTAAAAAGGAAAGAAAGGAAAGAAAGAGAGAAAGAAAGAGAGAAAAACTAGAAATAAAAAGAAACGAAGAAAGTAATAGAATTGAGAAAAAAAGGGAAAAGAACGGGAAAGAAAGACAGAAAACGTAACCGAAAGAAAAAGAAAAAAAAAGAAAGAAAAAAGATAAGTGAAAGAAAATAGAAAGAAGTAACAAAGCGATATCGAGTAAATGAGAAAAAATAATAATGAATAAAAAAAAAGTAAGGAAAGAAAAAAC